ACATTGTTACCTTACTGAAGTCAGCTGATCTTGATTTGGCTGCGTTTTATGCCCCACTAACCGATTAGCTCCGACCTACTAATCAGGGCTAAGTATTTAGCCTCACATGCAATGCAGGATTTTAGACAAATGAAATCATTCGTGTAGTAAGCTCCACGGTATCCTATAGTAGACGTAATTTCATGTTCTGTCAGTTATATTGTGCTACCCCTGTTCCTGAATGAAAATTAGTATCCTTATTTTAAAGAGTGTGAAGTGGTGCTTTTCAATTTCGTCAGTTCTCTGTGAGAGATAATGCTTGAGGCCTTAAATTTTCAGTTACAGTGACATTATTTTCTACGCCCAAACGTTCTTCTTCACCTTGTATATCGCCAACATTGCGAGGTTATGAAGAACGTCGCATGGGATTCGGCTCTATGCATCACGTGTGGTTGACGCTACTGACACCACTGAAGGTTTTGATGCAATGTGGAAAAAATACTGACCAATAATGAGTTTTGTGATCACTTTAATAAAAACGCTATTATAGCCCCATTTTGGTACACTTAGTTTCCTTCAGTTGAAATGTAGTCCTGACATAAATCTAATCGTATAAATCAGCCTTGTTCAATGTTCAGAATGAATTCATCTCACATACTACTTTGCCATTGCTGATTGTGTTCGGTTCGATTATGTAAGTTACCATAATTCTGTAGTATTAGCCAGAGGGTAGTGATTTCGGCACAATTTCGAAGATTCTCCTTCAGATTGAAGGAAATATGAACATTACATTCTGAAGCAGGTTCATTGCAAGCTGCAAAGTTTAATCCGTTGAAAGCTAGTACGAAACAGCTGTCAGGTACTCTCAGGTTTTCCAAAGATTCTTTAACTTATATCAGCTCCTGATCAATATGATTATGCAGACTTTTGTAAAATGTTAAAATGAAAACACTGTACATAACTTTTGTTCAAAACTATTTACTACAAATATATACGTAACTTTGGAGTGCAATTAAAATTAAGCATGCTGCACGTCGCTTCGTCTTCTCACTGGTCCGCACTGTCTACGTGCTTGACAACTTATCATGTTGTATTCTCTGTAATTTGCAGGAACCTGTCTTCCCCATCCAAAGCCTATTCTGAAACTGGTAAACAAATTCTAGTAGCGGATACAACCTTCAGAATTGAATGCTTCTGTGGGTTATATTATTAATATAAGGCACAGGATTCTAATTGTTTTGTTGAGTAACTATTAATTCTTATAAATCATCATCTATGTTTCTATAATATACTGACTCCATATTTCTACATTAACCGGTATTTTTATCCTCATATTTTGTATCATCCCCTAAAAATCGACAAAATTCAAAATGCATGGACAATTGGGACGAGTTCTGATGGCTGAGTGACACACGACCTCATCTCCTAACTGAAAGATCCTGTTTTCAAAATTCAGTGAGTGCTTTCTCATGGAGAGTCTCAAACTATGACGAACACATGTCCAGGACTACCAGGTTTTCTAATGGTTCTGTCTCTGATGTCAGCTGATGACCAACCTCCTAACCAATCAAGTACCTGCAAATAAAAACTTGACGAACAGACACTGTGAACTGTTTCATCATGAAACGAATAATTGCAGTAATTACAGATATAAGTCATTAAGCTATAAGAAGATTACGGCAACGCCACTGAACATTCGTGATTCGTTAATGTTGGCTAGATGAATCGTAGTAACAGTAAACCAACCAATCATTGAAGACATCTCATCAAAATCACAATTCCTTGAATATCATTGATGCGTTCACATCAATCATTAATATCAAATGAAAATATTGTAGTTGTGTGTGAAGACCAGAGTTCAAGTGTTTTTCAGTTAGTCACTTTATGACAGACTAAAATAAAGCAACAATATTATATAAAACTTTTCGATGAATTATTCATTTATGAGAACAGAACGACTGAAGGCGTGATGGGTAAGTTTTGAACGACACATGTATTATCAGTTTCATTAAGTCATATTTGTATCATCACAAACTTGATTTATATTGCTTATCATGTACATAACGTTGTATGCGCTCTGCAAATTACAAGTTCATAAATATCAATGAACGTCAATGATGGTTGTCGTCGAAGAAGACCCTGAAAGGAAATTCATTTGATTCATATAAGGTGACGTGTAAAACTGCAGAGCACTGATTGATTAACTGGGAATCCGACAGCCATTATTTTTGAAAGATGACCTTTTGTCAAAGTGGTAGTTATTGGTGGGTGAATATGAGGTGCTGACAGTGAACCAGCCGAGAAAATCAATAAACGTTCATACAACTTGATGGTATGTGACATGCGGCACAGCGAGATGAAAACCAGACAACAAACGTCCATAGATTAGCACAAGTTAATACTTTCACATACTGACAATAACAGATCCTTTCAACGTAAATGATTCTGTCACACTCACACTATGAAAGCCTGAATCCTGTATACAGCGGTAACAGTCCTAATTCACCAAGAAAAGTAAAGGTAGAAAGACAAAGCATGTTTTCGTGTGATGATTTCGAACAAAGATCTTCATTTTCTTCATTCATCTTCATTCAACTATGTAAAAACGTATAGTCAATACTACTGTCCTTATTGGAGACAGTATTGACATTCATGCTAATAATAATAATTCGAAAAAACAGTACTTATAATACAGAATGGAATTCTCAGCATTTGTCACTCATTCCACTTTGAAACTTTTAATATTATGACTGTCGAGGGACAAATGGTGCATGAACCCTAAATATCGTTGTTCAACGTACAATATATTTCGTGATAAATAGCTGCGAACATGCCTATTCACAAAGAAGATGCGCATTAAACAAATAATATCAGTGATATATTAAATTCTAGCTGCATGTTAATACTCCGTTCCCTAGTAATTTACATCGTACACATCGTTCATTATGGGACTAAGTTAATCTTTAAACTGTTGTGTTTCTTTGAAAATATTCTTTAGGTCAAAATATGTCCATGAAACATGAAAGATCCAACCATTTGAAAAATACTCTTTCGAGCCTGAGACAAGGAAGACTTCTATACTTCTTCATCTGGGTAAGAAATCAACACCTTGCTATGAAACTGCTCCATGCAGATGGTAATTGACACATTGTTGATGCTTTTAGTGACACTGACAATGGTTGTTATGGTCAACAAAGTGTAGGTCGGAATCTCATCAACATTATAATTTTTTTTTTTTCACAGGAAAGAACTTTGTTTTTGGATTAAAGACCACAGCTGGGTGACAATTGTTTTGATGTAAGTTCATCTTATAACGTTTCCAACCAACATCTTTACTTGAAACGTGTACACACAGCTTTCCATGGAAATTTTCATGAATTGCCTATCTATCCCGATGAGACCTCATGAAACGGTTGTCCATTTCAGATATTTGCGTTGTTTATTCTCTGTTCATTCTGCTGCCTGCTTATTGATTGCATGAATGCTGAAAAACTGCTGGTAGCATATAAAGAGTTACATTTCAAATAGTAAGGAATTCGTACAATTTGCATGAAACAGTCAGATATCATATAACAGATGGTTATTGCAGCAGTGTGGTACTGAGTCATTTAATGAGGGAAACACTTTGATGATGTAAATGTTGTGCTCGATTTCAAAACACACTCTGTGGTCGCAGAATTAATTGACCAATATTAATTTCTCATTTCAGATCAATTGGGACACTTCCAATTCTTGTTCTCGCATTACTCAAACTCCTCGGCTATCGTCGGGAAATTGATCATTTTCTAATAGGAATCAGTGTAAGTGTTTCGGTCTTTCTGTTTCACACATATTAACTGGAAACTATTTAAGGCCTTAGGAAGAATATTTGTATGCAAGCAAATTATTTGATTCGTATCAAACAAAGATGTTATTGAATTCGTTTACGTTCTCATCTTAACTGGCTTCTGTGTATGAGTAGTCTCAATAAGCTGATGACTAGACATATTCCAAAAGGTTTTTAATCTCAAGTGATGCAAGCTTCCAGATGAAAGAGACAAATGCAACTGTCATATATACGAAGAAATCAGGAGCATAAACCTCACAGCAGCCACCTCTTAGAACTGTGTACCACGTGATTTATATCACAGTTTATTGGATATTTTGTAGATGGAAATGATTTCTAGAGATATCTTCAAAATTCTATTTTCGTAGTAGTGTTTCCATCTCGCTGTCTAGCATTTCTATGTATTTATGAGAAATGGCAATGTGTTTTGGTGACGTACGCTGCCGTCTGTGTGAATTATTGTTAGCATCTTCACTAAGCACCAGCATTCATCTGGATTGTATTCATAACATTTTTGAAGACGCATAGCCCGCAGCTATGTGTATCACACGGACAATAACTAAGGTAATATAATTTGAATGTGAGGAAATAGTCCTTATCATTTATTGGATCTCAGGCTTAAGTGTGTCTATGCAATTATTTCAGCGAGTGCGAATTAAATATCCACTCCATGAGCAGACATTTGTCATTCAACACGAACATGGGATCAGTCCCCCACCTAAGTGTTTAAAAGAATTAATCACAATCAGTAATGATAAAAGTAATGTTGACTTAGTATTGACATAAGTGTCTCTGCTTGCTTTACTTCATGCTAAAGTAGCACATGAAATGAACAAGTGAAACACAACTTCCGAAACACGCATTTCACAGTGCGAGCAATCTCACATAAATTCACTTTATTCAATCCTGCTTAAAAATGGATTATTTTTATCAGCTGTACATTTAAAGCTGTTACTGAATGTGATTGAAGATCGGGTACATGGTATTTATTTTGTGTAGTCATGTATTGGTCGTATCAAGACTAGTGAATTTCTGCGAGTAACAACGATATGTCAAAGATGTAAACGAGGCCACTTTACTAATACTTCAGCAAAACAGTAAAATTTCGTAATAACGTTTATACAATCAACAAGTCCGCCTCCAATTTATATGAACTTTACTGTAATGTGTAAACTGATACTTTCTTTCATTTCAGTTCGTGCTATGTTCGATGGGTTTCGCCACTGTGTTCAAAACTGTTTCTTTAGTCATAGCTTTGGCAGCAAGTGGTTCGACGATCCTGTTGACTGCAGCTGTCCTCATTACGGCTCTGTACCTGAGAGATTCTAATTTTCTCTTCACCATTACACTTTTCGCAGCTTTATGTGCTTCTGTGCTTACTGGAATAATTCTGTATATTGTTGAATACGTATCAGGTCATGATGATAAGGTAACATTCAATTGTGACGTATTTTTGAAAATCTGAACTTGATTTATAACGTTTCCTCTGAACATGAGATATTTGTCTTGTTCGGAATGGATAAATAATAAAGGATTTTTCATTGGATGCCACGTATTTGGAAGGTCGCTAGTAGACAACTGAGACATACTATCGTTAGATTGCTATTCGTGGTCACAGTGTTGAGAGAAGATGATTGGATTGTCTGTGTAACAGTATTAAGAGTAGGATGAAAACAAGAGGATGAGGGCAATTCAGACATAAGTAAGCAACTTTCAAAAGGGCTTTGTGAGCTTTCAAAAATGTGTGGATGGCTAGTTCTATCAATCGGCCAACACTGTCGAAGTAGACTTCGTTTTGAAAAACTTTAAGTGTGAAGATTATTCGTCCTGAGTGACCAAATAGACGATAAGATAGCTACTTGAGGTCGACTGCACACAGCCCATGTTGAGCTGTGTACTTGTTGGGATCGTTCTACCGGCTAGGGTCGTCTTTTGGGTATTTAAGAGTGTACTGTTTTCGATGTTTAACTTCCCTTACTTCCACATCAAGGTAAAAGGAGTCAGCAGAGCTGTCTTGGCAGCTATCTCAGGCAAACATCCTACTGCTATTACTCAGCTGCTCACATATCTCTAACATAGTTAAGACAACCTAAACTATGATGGGAACTGGTTTCAGTCTGACTGCATGCTGGATACTGTGGGAACATTAGCTCAAACCAGTATCATTATTTGAATTATCTGGAAATACCGGACCAACTGCTTTGTCAAGATGGCAGCTGTCGGTAACACTAAGGTAATGTTTGCAAGATTGATTCATCAATAACTTCAGTAATCTCATTTCAGTGTGGATATATGAATACCTGAAACATCAATTTGATCTGATAAATTATCTCACTTTACTTTCATGTTTTCAGCAGGCACTGAGGATTTCACTTGGCGTTAGCTTCATTCTCGCTATGGTGTTGGTAAGTTTTATTGTCAGACATTCATAATAACTTTAAGTGTAAATATAGTCTGCTCAGTGATAAAAATTACACCCATTTGTCCGTTTCCTGTTGAGCGAAGACAACTGAATAGAATTCACCTCGTTCAAGAGCTCTGAATATTTTGCATATGCAGTAATAATGAAAAGTTCTGTATGATTCGACCATTTTATTATGACAATTCTGCGTACAATTAACACAAAAACGTTTTCGTCACATCTACACACCAGTGTATATGCGCACAAAATAATATTTCATCATTCAACTTGAACGAAAAGTGTAAATTGTTAATAATATTATTGTTTCCTTCAATCTTTAGAGGAACATTGAGCTTCAGCCGCACGTCTCCATTGCTTTCGGTTCTGTGTAAATCGTTAGCAGGGTGAAAAAATTATACTGCCTGGTGATGTTGACTGAGAATAAAATTGGCGTCATCAGCGTAGGTTAGCATAAAATTGACTTTGAGTCGGTAGTTTATCTCTGAACTCAATCCATCACAGTTGAATGAAAGAAAAGGATGATTTGGAGTAGATTTTTCAATTGCCAGTCACTTTCATACTGCATAACTTAGATTGATATTCTCTGATTCCCTTTCCTAAAATCTGTTCAAGTGTAATGTTGCATAATTACTCATTCTATCTGTTTATAAGAGAGAACACTGAGTTGAAAATGAACATGTTTTAAGCAAAAGATGAATTCCTTTCCTTGTATGTTATATCAAATGGAATATTTTGGCGAGTGACATATGTTCATTTATGAATCAGATCAGATGCTGATGATGAAACCACTCCCGGAAAGGTGTAGTTTCAATTTATTTCTATATTGTGTATGCCTATCAGGTAGCTTAAATAGTAAAATATTTATGAGTGAAGCAGTTGTGTGGCAAAAGTAATCCTTCTTAATTTGAATTTATAATTGATTCGATATTGCCTTATTTTCTGACACTGCAGGCTATCTTCCTGACGATGAATAGACTACGATTCTGCATCGCATACAAAGATGTTTACTGCACAATAATATTCCGAGCTTTCTGTTTGTGGTTGGAAATGATCATACTGTTCACCGCAACATATTCTCCTTTTGATAAATCTGGGGAAGCATGTTCAAATGCGCAAATGTTTTCACCCTGATTATAATATGTCATCTCTGATAAATAAATATTTCTAATTTTGAATATCTTCACTGTTTTGTTCAGTCACCTGATGTCAAAATAGTTAGGCTGGTTAGTTTGCTAAGTATTTGTCGATTCATAACATGTAAACTATGTTAAACACTCTGGTAGAGCACGCAGAAGGGTAAAGAGGCATGTAAGCACTAAATTCCATTTCAAAAAATTAATGCAATAACTTTATTTAAATGTGAATATATTCCGATAATAAATTCATACGTTTTTTGAAAACATTACACTGTAACTAATCGTTGGCAATGTGTCATTTCTTTAGAACTTGGAAGGTATTTAGAATTCTTGAAAGTATTCGAGAGGTGGGTAGTAGTTGCTGTGGTTTTATAAATTCAATTTTTACAACATGAGTGTCTCACGAAGAGTGACACCTGGAAGACTTTGTTATAATCCCTTAGAACTATCTTGATTTACTGATGGATTCACCTCATTTCCTGACACCTTCCATCCCAACTCGTTATCAGAGGTGACTGGAAATTTCAAATCCAATGACTGCAGTTTTCTCACATCATTCCGTCACAAAAACAACGCCAACTTTTGAACTTGAATAGACAATACTCTTGATTTAGTGTTCACAAATGACTTTGGTATATCTGATGCATGAAAACGTGCCGCACTTCTACACTTGGATCATTGTACTACGCGAATATTGTTAAACGTATAAGGAAAGCTACAAAAAGAGCTGCCTCACACCTTCTCAACAAACCTCAGCATAGTCCTTTCACTAAGCACAATACGCATACTCTCAAACGTGTGTCAAAACCAACAAACTGGGTCTCATTTACTGAACAAGTTCTAGACAACGCAATCACAAATGCAACATGTTATCTGATATTCACTTTCCTTGGAAGTTGACTGTTTACCTTCTTTTCACCTCAAAAAGCTTCACCGTAAAAATGAAGGCTGTTTAATATGAAAGATAATCATGGTGTATTGAGGCTGAAAACATTAATAAGATCAGAAGAGAATAAGTGTGGAAACTATTTGGGAAAATCATTAGTGATAAGAAAATGAACAATTATTCTTCTTCAGCTGATGCTGATTCGCTCAATAAGTAAGTCCATCATATGTCATACAGTAGATTACACTGTGAAAGGTACCAAAAGCTGTCAGTAGAGCGAGTAGGGTATAGCTAAACGCATATTTGAACTTCTGTAGGATATCTGTCCCACTGTAACATATCATACAAGTTTATCAGCTTTTACTTCTTTTCAAATTTATCATTCAATAGAATGGATCATTCTCGGAAATCATTTCTGAAAGAAAGCGAATGCATTTTCGTGAACAGTATTAAGTCCATGAATGAATGTAACCTCCTGACAATGTTTGATTTTCTTTTAACTTGCCGTCAACTGCGCAATGAATCTAGGAAGGGTGAAAAATTACCCTCTTCTTTTACTGACTTTAGTGATAGACTATTTATCACTTCATTCATTACATTTGAATTTAACTGGTAGAATAAGGATTATGATTAATGGTTAAAACGTCGTCCACATGTCCTCTATAAGGTGGTAAGTTTTCAATTAAATCTTGCGATAAACTACCAATGTACGATATATAGATATCTGGTTAAAGGAATTATTGATAAGACATATTACTTATTCAAAACTATTGCAGATTTGAAAAAAACAGTAAACTGACTGGAAAGGAATATTCATTTTCCCTTAGTTCTTCAGAAACTACTCTACACTAAAAAGTATGGATTCACATCAAAATAGACCAATCATGTGGTCATGTAAGTTAATAAGATCGACCAGTTGTAGGACACAGAACGGGTGAAAACAACCGATTACAAAAATGAAGATGGCTTATTCGATCCTAAGAGGTTATGCTCAGATGAATTTTTGTGGTCAATTTTGTATTGTGAATAGGCGTTCTTTATTTGATGATACTCAGGAATTCAGTGCATTGTACGAAGTTAATACATATTATTGAAATAGTGACGACAGCTCACATCCCACACTTTGAGCAGAAATAATCTTTTTACATTCACTTCTATTCATGGTGTCCGTGGTTTTCAGATGGGTATTTTCCACTAATTCTTCGTTAATTAAAATGATATAGGTATTAGATAGATACTAATTTCTTTAGGTAAATGTTCACCTTGAGTCTCACAATTTATGAAGGATGATTCGCATATTAAATAAGTGCACCAATCTTTACTTATAAGTATTCCTTTGAAGAATGTATTCGTCTCCAGGCGTATCAGCTCTGGAGATTTCAAGTGGATACAGCCCGGGTGAATATTCCTTATTGTCGGTTCTACTAACCATCCTTTATCACATACTGTTGCATAAATCACACTCTGAAGCGTTGACAGAATACTGTATTTCTCAATGTTTCAGTGTATATCCAGTGACTTTCTTTCAGGGCACACTTTGTTACTTAGCCTGATGAATATAGAAAGTCAGTATGATGAGTCTGGCTATCGTTGGGCCAAAAAGAACCATGTAAATGTGATCGCTTCTGGCAGCTGACAAAATTGCTGAATTTCGACATTCCAGGCAGTGCTGAGAAATGTTCTTTTTCCTAGACTGATGTACCAGTCATACTCAACAACAGGTAAAATGAGTAGAGTATATTCACCTGAAAAGCTCATCTTTTTCGTCAAAACGTTCGATCAATAAGACAATATGAACAGCCTGTTTAGGATACTATGTTAATACAGAATATTTCACAAGCAAACATTCACTAGGTGAGAAGGATATGAGATTGAAATGTAATGGCCGGTAAATCACTTGAAGCAGTTAATTTAAATGCAAAACACAGGTAAAACCCTTGAGATATTCATCCTATAATCGCAAGTTATACATCATTCTAGGATGCGTATGAACATACGTAAGTTTTCAAAGATGTGATTACATAGTGTAAATCCTAAGTAGTTGGGTGAATTTTTTATAAAAAAGAAGGTAGCTTAGTGTTTTTCGACAGAAAATCACAGATAGTTCCGTATTAGATTTATTATATATACATTAGGTATTTAATAAGAAAATTGTGTTATTTTGTCGGGTTATGAGTGAAATTGGATCAGAAATTTGGATGATGTCTGAAATGATTGAAACTTACGAGTTATTGTCTCAACGCAAGAAGCCAATCTCTACATCTAAATGTATAGCTGCGCACGAGTTGCACCAACAACGGCAACAGCCAGTTCCTTACAAGATGATAATGGCTGGGAAGTGGCATAGAAAAATACTTGGTATGGTTAGAATGGTAATTACTGAGTCTATTTAAATTGCTGCCCGTTGACGAACAATTGTTTATACAAATAACAAACATATTCATTTCTGTTTTGGCTCCTCATCAACGTTCATGTGCTAATATGTGCAAATTTACATAAAAACTATACCAGTCATGTTGTTATGTCAGTGACATTACTGGAGGTAAAAATAAATGCGGAATTCTAGACGACTCAATTTACAGAGGTTATTAAAAACTTACTGTGCAATTGAACAATCAGGATATTATCAGTTCGTTGTTCATCATTTCGTAAATTTCTCAACTTACTACAATATACGCAAATTCACTTCTCTTATGCGCTGGAGGAGCTTAAACATTCTCGTTGTATGAAATTCTGTTGAAACCTCTCTACGGAAATTCCCTTCAATGTATTTCAGTTATTGGGTAAAATAAACCACATGCCACGCTATATCTCAATTTGTTGCAGGATGTCCACGGAGTGGAGATCAGACTGTGGATTAAATCATTTGATGTGAGTCTAGTACACACAAAACTCATTGGCGACCACGCTCGCAGTCGTCCTATAAATTTTTGTTAATATAAACAAATTCTGATCCTTGACACATTTCGCATTTTTCTGAATTCACCACTTTTAATCATATAAAATCACATGGTTCAAAGTTAAATATTTTCAGTTGTGATAAAAAATCTTAACTGAATGTTGAAATAACGACTTCATTATACTCACGGAAAAAATTAGTTTATTTTGAAGCCTTTGGTCCCAATTAATGAACGTCCTATAAATTTTAGTTAACATCAATTAATTTTGATTCTTGACTTCCTTCAATTTTTTATGAATTTACCACTTTTTATCAAATAACTCGACATGGTTCAAAGTGAAACATTTCCGTCGTGTTAAAAAGTCTCAAATGAATGTTGGAACGACTACTTCATTATTCTCACCAATAAGAATAATTAAATTTCAACTGAAGACTTTGATACCAATTACTGAACGCTTTACAACGAATCCAAAAAACTAAGAATCAAATTAATTATCTGAGCATCTTATTCTGCTGAATACTGTAACGTCTGGTGTGAGATGGCTTTTCTCTCTCAGGTAACCAGTTCAACACATATCATACATCGTAACTATCTTTTGCTTGTCATTATTCAGAATCTCAAAAGTGACACGCTTCGTGCCATTTTATGGCTTCAAGTTTCATGACTCCACAGTTTATGAGGTTTATTACTTGATATCAGTAGTGAACAGTCATCCAAATATACGAGAATTGTATCAGAATCTTTCTCTTCATGTCTTTTATTGAAATCCTGAAACATACCTGTTTCGTGTGAGGAGCCACAACATTTGTTTTGAAAATCTGGAGGACATAACATCAGACATCTGTCACACTGAATGATAGTAAGTATTTTAGAGCATCGGGAATATGAGTTGACTTCATTTACTCAGGATCTTTTCATGTCTATTGTGACATTCATTTGAATGTTGAAATCTGCCTTCTCATACCTTCAAGAATTGACAGCAAACTATGAGATATTTTGAGGTGAAATATTTTTAAAGAAATGTGTTACGCCATTAAAATCCATCCGTAACGCGGGTTACTTACAAAACAAAAGTAAGAATGTTATTATCCATTCTATGTGGACCCAATAAATATGTGTTTGATCGAAATGAATCTATCCAAAGTTATTTCTCAATAACTTTTCAGTGAAAACCTCATGAAGTTTGGTAGTCAAAGGTGTATAATCACAGATCAAATGTCGCAAAACATTTTGATCATCATCCCTATTTTTATGTACATTTGCGTTTTTGCCTCATTGCTCATTTTTAAAACATTATTTCATTCATCTGTGAAGTTTTCAGTTCCCTAATAAGATCACGAAGTTTTGGTGAAATAAACTAAATTTCTTCCAGGTTTAGTCGCCAAGTGTCATCAGATAGACAGCCATTGAGAAACCAGGTAGTGGTGGACACTGTTTCATCCCACCTTGGAATAGGTCCTTCAGCAGTACACAGCAGTATTAACTCATAACATTTCGAGCACAATTTAGGGCTCATAATCGTATCAAGTAACACTAGTAGACTCTATCAAAATGAATTTTTCCCCATAATGTGATTTATCAGCATCTGCGATCGCTGGATACTGAAGATCAGATAACAGGTCATAAAGGATTAGGCAAACGGAAATTAGTCAACAAAATAACTAATAACCTATCGCCTAATTATTATGGAGAAGGAGATGAAGATGGGTTAGATGCACACTGAGGAGACTGACGAGTAGCATGAAGAGTCACACGATCTCTCCAGTGGAAGCTAAATATGAAAAGATGAGTTAGCTGTCTTCTGGAGGAAAAGATAAGAGCTAGAGTCAGCTAAAAATACTTCATTGAATGAAGCGAGATGGCGATGTGATGCCGAAGCCCAATGTTTCACTCAGAACTTGGATCCATTCGATGTATGCTGAATATCAGATGATCACCAGGCATAGATAAGCAACAGAGTGCTTAGGTAGTGAATTAAAAATGTTAATAGATTTATTCATACTGTACTCATCTGAAATACTTAAAAAACAAAAGTAATAACGATTCATCAACCATACAAGGCCAGAGTATATTCACAAAGATCAATATACTAATAGAAGATAGAACGTTGTTCAAAGTTCAATGGATGCTGCTGCATCCCACGCATATACACTTTGTTGGTTCACACTGAAACATATAAGTAACTAAATTGAAGGCGTTAACTACGATAAATCAATTTAGAATCAGGTGAGTTCAGATACAGATGGATTCTCAACAGTTTTACTGATAATCTGTTTTGGAATATTTGTCAGTTAATGTTTGGGATTTCTGAGACACTGCTTGGTACCATAAAATGTGAAATGAAACAGTTCCAGTTGATCATAAAAGATGCTGCGAATTCATATCAAGTTGGATTTTCAGAACAACATATTCACCAGATTCCACGTTAATTCATGTAACTCTTTGAAAATAACGTGTTTGAGAAAGGTGTTCCCTTCGGGAACTCTAATTTAGGTTGACTAATCTTGAATACAGAAAATGTTTAGTGATCACAGATGCAAGGGAGATTTAATGAAGCACTGATATACCCACAATTAAATATACTGAAGGACGGATTGCACAGATAATTGCCGGTAACCACAGCCTAGAATCCGTTGTCGATTTAAGGACTGATATCCATCCTGCGATTATTATTTTAGATGATCTTGGACACAGAAATAAAGATGATAAACTATTAGTGAACCAGTTATTACCTGAAGGTGAGTGAAAGGATGAAGAAGAGTAAAGTAAGATAAGATCGTTTCGGCTGGTATAAATAATAATCGAGAATGAGTAGGATCCCTCTCCAAGTAATGCATGAGTACAGCGTACAAAACCAACCAGGATTTTCGCCAAAACGCTAAAGAAACTCATGAGTAGTGTTTTTCTCCAGCATGTTGACAGTAATAACATTTTAACTGTGAAGCAGTCCAGTTTACGGCTACATCATTCTATCGATGTCAACATTCTTCAAGTTGGGTTTCTCATTTAGACATTTGCATGACCCTAAAAAGTCTCAGAATAAATAAAGACAGGATCCAGGACTACGTTAACTGATCCTTTTAGAGAACGCATGCTCATAATTCTTCAAAAACATGAACAAGTCATCTACATTCTGAGCTGGACCAGTGAAATTAGTCTTCATATCGTCTTGCTATAGCGTATTTTCACCATTTCAAAAAAAATTTCAAGGTTCAATATAAATCAAACGAGAAAGACAACTGTTCCCCTGTATCCTGCTATCTTCAATGATCTGTGGAACGTAATAGCTTGGGTTATCATCCTTGAAATCAGTGTTATTATATAATTTAAAAGTGAATTCTGGACAACCTAACTAGTGTCACCATCGCTTATCTTTAACAGGGTGCTTTCAAACATTTTAGATATTTCGATTATTCATTAGTTAGAGAGCTCATTTCTGTTCTACCTGGAAAGTAAACATGAACGAGAAACTGAAGGTTTGTTGAAACATCTGCACTGCTTTATTCATAGGATACAAATCCACCACCTACTGCTGCACAAACCTGTCTTCGAAAGGTAGGCGTGTTTGTGTATTTACAGTAAAACATTTAATCAAATCAAGTACATCATGTTTACATGTTTAATGGTTTTGGTTACGGTGATCACTACGAACTGTGTAGCAACTATGTAAGTCTGTACTGTTATTGTTTTACTACAAACCGTTGATTTTAGTGAAACACTTAAGAATTTATACAACGCATTTTACATACCATTGGTTTTTCTGTGAGTCATTTGATGTAAATTATAACATATTTCCTTATGATTGCTAAAAAATAAATGTAAGATAGTTTTATACAGATTATTGTGATGAGCTTTCGAATTGTGGTGACTGGCAGCGGAACTGAGGACTCAGATTTGTCTCTATTTTCAACTCGTGAGCTTGATATAACTGAATTCTTAGTAATTACTGGTGTTTTCTCTGACCCTTGAACCAAGTGGCGATCGCTTGCGCATGATGGACACCTGTTGTGTAACGGTTATCAATTGCAATTTATTCAAAATTATATTGTATTTCCCACGTGATTGAGACAAATGAACTAAAATGTTCAGTCAGTATTTACCTGTCAGCTTTTTGAAGGATGCTTCATCAAATTTTGTGGATACACACGTTATTCGATATATGATGGATGAAATATGAGAGCTACAGTCAAATGGAATCACCCAACCGGAACTACATGAATATCTTAAGTTAGCAAATAGTTACTTGAATTTTATTTTCAACTAAATGGAGTGTCCGAATTTCTTCTGTCATTAATTCATAAAGAAGTTGTCACTAACTTTGCTTCGATTGAAGCAACACTGCTATGGTGACTGAATGCTAGTCATCGCCAACAGTGTTTAATTCTCTGTGAAACGTCGATGCATAATGTCCCTGATTTTCTCTAGCTGACTATTTCTATTATTTCACCTTTTCAGTGTACTCGGTGCGATCCCAGTGTCAGTGTTATTGATTATTGAGAAACTTAGAGAGACTTTTCCACTTAATGAAGGACTGATCTCACTTTCGGTGAGTTTGCCTTCTTTGATTGGATAATGCATGTATGTTTCTTTCATAAACTCCTGACAATTACGCGAAATGATCGTTATAAATCAATGACTGAACCGCTAATTTGTACTCGATGTTTCAGGCTGGTTCATAACAGATTAGTCACATCTTTGTCTCGAGTGATGCAAAAATCTGATCAGTCGCTTTTTTGCTGACTACAGACTTCAGTGACTGTTATGTTGACTAAAATGTTTTGTGTATAATATGCGTGATCTATTTGTCATTGATAAAATCAGTTTTACACTGCTGCAAATAAGGAAGACACACGTGTGGAGTCTAAATTTATAGTGGTGAAAAATTGTTGACAGACAACTCGATGAGTGCAATTGATTAGGTGAATAATTGTGGAAATGCCACAATCACAGTGGTTAGAACTCTCACCAACCATACACATGGTCCAGGGTTCGATCCCTTGTCGAGGTACTCCCGATGTATATGGTCAGCCTGCATAATTTAGGCTACCGATATCGTTTTGTTTTTCCATTCATTGGGAAATACAAAAGCCTTTACTATAATGAAAACCGATATCCATGCTGAAAATTCCATACTTGTACTGAAAAAACGGGGTGGCATCAAGCTGTAATCAAAATAAATTCAAAAAATTGCATTTTCCCAAGCTATGCCAACTGCCTAATTTTGTTCTAGTCAGTGCCTACTTGAATATTAAGGAGGGAACTAAAGTGACGTGATCAGCTTATTATCTGAAGGGTGTTCCATTTGCTCGATTTATCCTTCAAGAAAATACGTGTTCCATCGATTATTTTGTAAAATCCCTCATAATTTCAGGTTGGCCCATCTAGTTTCCAAATGCACACTGATCACATTTTTATTAGTCTGTAAGAAGACAACATACGCCATCGTGTTTCTGCACTTATAACAAACAAACTAATAACCAGTACCTCAATAGCACTTTATTCAAATTTCACTCGTTAATCTTAACGTTAATTTGTCAAGATAAACATACTTGCGATTTCGTAGCTCAATATAATCTATCTATGTTTCAGGTTTTACTATGGTCTATCGCCTTACCTGCTGTCTCCAAATCCATGGGATTTTTAATTTTTGCACCATGGATTATCACAATCATCGTAGCTGTGGTGACACTGATAATTGGATACAGAACTGTAAAACGGAGTGCGAAAGTGAGCATCATACTATTGAGCGTCGCTGGTGGAATCACAGTGTTGGGTATCATTCTGTTGATTGCTTTTAGACTTGCCCAGCGTGAAGTAAGTAGCGTGTTATTTATTCCTTGAGGCAGTAAGTTGCCCTGTGATTATCCCATATTGTTCAAATAATGTCCATAAATTACTATTTCTTGCGTGACTGGTCGTATGTTGCGCAAGGCATTCTATAAGAACATGTATCAACAACGTAGAACACACCACTCTATTGTGGCAGAACTGTCCATTAGTCAAATTTCACTCAGTAATCAAACGACATTTGAACTATAAGTGGAAACGCCGATTTGCACAATGCATTTCTCCTATGCTTCTTATATCTTCATTTCGAGTTTCCCACATTGCTTCACAGTTTTGTTCATTTCTCTGGTTTGCAAATCGATCTGTGCCTGTACGATTCAAGATTCATGGAGAAGATATGAATTGACATATCACTTTCAAATTCCTCTCACTTGCTAACGACACATAACTTTTCCATATACATGAACTATACAACAGAAAAACATAGGAAATCACTGCTTGCATCAACCATCTATTGCATTTCAGTAATTTAACTTCTGACCAATTTCTGCCACCTTGATGTGGTTTTCGATCTTGCATATCTTAATGAAGCAGTGAGCTGCACTGTTTGTGATCAGTGTTACTGCAGGTCATGCCATGACACAAAAGTTGTTTCGATGGCGGTAAGACCAAGAAAGTTATCGTCATATTGTAAATTGTGCACAGTGTTGAATGTCTGTAGGTTAATTTGTAGTAATGGAGAGTCAGAATCTAACATCCGTATGGTGTCTGCTTTAGATGACCATGAGATCAGCTGCTCTCACTCTTCACCCTGTAAAGTTTGAAGTCGAAGAGGTCGATCCTGGATATCGGCCATCCAACTAATCTTGTGGTGGTCAGCAGCCGGTGGTAAGATCTTAGTATGACAGTCAAGTGATTTAAGTGTGTAGCTTATGTATTTCAGCAAGTGATATCATATTTGTCAAGTCTGCGGTAAGGACTGAATTCTCAATATTATTGTTACAATCTCATCAAATTACTAACAGGCCACCTGTATAGAGTATAGTCTAAGTGATTTACTGATTGAAAGGGATACTGACAATAGCCTGTCTGTCGATAATCACCAAACACTGCACATATTATGCAGTCAAGTGGTGGATAAAGTGGAAAACAGACAGACAGTGGAAAATAAGATACTGAAAGTACTCCTATAATATAAAAGACAAATCACTAATTTATTCTCGGTTCATATTACCTTCCATTTGTTACTTGCAGACAACTGCAGTTATTCTGTCTGGCATATTTTTGGCTTCCGCTGTACTCATAGTAAGTCAGGTGGTGAATTTTGAGAATATTCATGAAACTTACTATGTTATATATTATGTATATATATATATATTATATACCATCATTAATTATCCGTTGTTATAATACTGATATATCCTCAACACACTTCTGCGCATTCACGTATCCAGTGTGTCGCCTGTGTGTGGAGGTGTGTATGGGTGTTGCTCGCTGACTTTTCTTTCTATTATGAGAACACTTCTCTTAACCTCACTTGATTATATCATCTTTTATAATGTGAAATTCTGATTTCTTCTCATGCTTATTTAGTTGCGTCATCAATAAATAGTCGTCTTCCATCATTTTTCCCTTATCTAACCCACTGGACTTAAGAAAAGGCGTAAACAGCAAAGAAAATTTTCTTTTCGACGATTCATTTTCATGAACTGTACAATCGTAATTGTATTAAACAAAGACTTCTTTAGACCAATCAGACACTGGCAAACTTTGTCCTCGAAAAATGCATTATGTAATATAAGGTGTAACCTAGAAAAGATGACTAACTGTAAGTTCCAAAAGAGGCAGAAGTTGGCATAACGTAATAAGTGTGAGATAATGATCAGTCAATAAGCTCGTGTAGAATGGACAAACACTAGTGTAAATGCGATAAAGTGTTTCAATATAAAATCTGTATGGAATAGTAACGTTATTAATAAACAGTAATTGAGTGGTAATAAAATATGGATGATGGGAATAATAATAATAAAACAATAGCAGTAATAACAATAGTGAATTAACATAATAAAAAGAACAACACATTTAAGCGAACAATATTGTTTTCAATTAGATCTCATCAGGCTTAACTCTAATATATATAGTTTACAAATAAAAATTCAAATATAAACCAATCATGGTGTTTTGTCTACGGGATAATACGATGGTGAATATAAATTGTGCAATTAGTCATAATAGTAGTAATGATAATAATAATTATAGTAATAATAGAAATGGTCTTATCAATAATAAGGATGAAAAAGTGAGGCAATCTGTGATAACACGAATAATGAAAAACAGCATGATTAAACAAACAACTGTTCAGGTGGAAGTAGTCGATAAAGGCTAGTAAAAACAAATGAACCGACTAAGTAATGTTAGATTGTAAGGGAGGGAAATGAAACACGTTTACAATGAAGATAAGATTGAGGGATGATAAGAAAGGGGTTGAAAATATAAAAAAGGGTGGTGTAGAAGTGATAAGTTGGTTATGTCTTAATAGGCCAAGGGAGGGATAATGGATGTACGAACTTTTTTTGAATACATAGTTTAGGTTTAATAGTTCGAATGCCTATCGCCTCAGCTGTGTGTAGTAGACGAATACGAAGTCTATTGGAAAGATTCGGTGGGATACGATGAATCACTTTGAAGGCTCTCGTTTTCTCGATTACATGACCACTATCAATTAAATGTGACAAAATTGAGCTACGAACTGTTTTTGTCTGTCCTTTGCCAAACCACGATGGGAGATGTTCACTAACACGTTGGCTAAGCTGTCTAGTAGTACGCCCAATATAACTGTTACCGCAGGTGCCGTTGAATTGATAAATGCACATAGATGTGACAAAACTATCAAGCTTATCCTTCGTTTGCGTCCCAATCATTCGTCGGCTAGAGAATGACAAACATAGGTGTGCTGCATAAAATGTTCTTCGTATACTCCTTGAAAGTCTTTGGAATAGAATCTCACTTGATAAGTCACCATTAAATTGTAACTTAATAAATAGAGGTTTCTTACGTGCAGTCAAAGTCTCCGGTTTTTTCTCCGATATTTTCATATGTTTCTTTATGAAGCTACTCGGATAGCCCATCTCCGTCAAGGAATCGTGAATATATTCAAATTCCTTTTGTAAGAGATCATCTGTACATATCTTTTTTGCTCTGCTCGCAAGACATTTTACAACATTCTTTTTATATTTAATGGGCACGTAACTAAGGAAGTGTGTGTATTGCCCTGTGAAAGTGCTTTTTCTATACACGCTTCTCCCAAGTGACCCATCTTCTCTCCTACTTAGCAAGACATCCAGGAAATGTAGTTCATTCTCCTGCTCCTCTTCACAAGTAAAGGTAAGCGAAGGGTGGATGTTGTTGAATTTCAGCAACAATTCGTCTATGTTAACATTTCCATCAGCTAAGATAAATGTATCATCGACATATCGGTAATACATATCAAACTGTTTGACGATGTCCTTCAATTTCCCGTTTTCAAGTTTTGCGAGAAAGAAGTCAGCTAATATTGAGCCTAATGGTGAACCCATAGCTATTCCATCTACTTGTCGATAGTATGAATTATTGAAGACAAAGTGAACATTCATTGTGCATTTAAGAAGTAATTCTTTGAGGCTACACAAGGGGATTCCTAAGTCTAATTGCCTTTCGCCGATTTCTTGACAAATATAATAATAATATAATAAAAAGAAGCAAAATTATAGTAAGAATTTTACTCTGGCCACGGTAGGGCGAGAGAATGTATGTTTCGCTTCTGAATGCAGAGGTCCGGTTTCAGATCTCGAATAGCTAATGCTTCTATGTACATAGCTAATGCTTCATCTATGTACATTGGCGTACGCGAAGTCCCTTTGTACGATATTTAGGGACTCTGTGTAGCATTGTGAAGCATTCATGCAGGGATAAAAAGGTGTTCGAGGATAGAGCTGCTGCTATCATGTCATTTATGTATTACCAAGTTGCCCATGATTTAGGCAATCTTATAATTTGAGTTCCTCAACATATTGCTGCTTCTCCTGCACTCCACTTTATATTTTATTTGAGAAACGTCGTCCACATCGCTCATATGAATACAGTAATCTCCTATTCCGAGGTGATTTCACTTTCCAAACACCATATGTTGAAAATACGTTGATTTCCGAATCTTGCTTCAGTTTGAGAAGGTCATGTGAATTAACTGAATAATCTCTGAACAGGAAGACCATCAGTCGAATCAATATATGTGCGAATTTCGGGGACAGTGATTTTCACACTTTGAAGTTTGCGGCAATCTCCTTGAAACGATCGTTCATATAACTTCCGATGTTTTCATATTTTGCTTCTCTGTAATAGGTGTTATACCTCACTGGACAAGGTATAAAACGTTGCAACAATGAAACAACGAGGACCCTTCTACCAATGTGGTTAGCTCTAATTACTTGGGCAGCAATTGTTTATTTATTCATCTCCATAGCTGTGATGTTTATGGAAGGCAAAACGGCGAGACATTGAAAATTGAGTAATCAAGCCCCCTTTTGAACGATCGTCATTTACGCATGAAGAACATTCAATCGTTTGTCTTCCTTGCTGGTTCTGTAATAACAATTATATTTAATTTAATTATATTTAAAATACATTTTGCAGTAATGTATTTTGTGTTTACTAATAACAGATGAATGTGTTTTTCTCATTTGTTGGACAGTGAGACACTGCCTACTACGTATTATAGTGTGAGAAAATTTTATCTTGAGATGAGGAAGGGGATGGGATATTGAAAATGCAATTCTCGCGTTTACTGACTGGTAAAAACAGGGTATAAATTAACGATGAGTTAGCTCACATAGACTGCATGGTTTGAGTGTTTATCAACTATTAGCTTTAGGAAGTCTATTATGAATATGCTCCCATCAACATTTGAACATTTATCAGTATTGAATCTGCACACAAATAGAGATTTTGGTTTTGATCGAGCTAATTCAAATGAAGCAGTCCTTTACATCGTGTATTCAGTTGTGAATCTTTTGTCTGTTTATTAATACAGGTTTCCACATAGCCTTTTCATCTTCTCTCGGACTATGTCTTTTGTGGGTATCCTGTAGTGTGAGTGTAATCTTCCTTCCTTTTCATTTGATGTTTCTGTCATGATGCTTAAGGAGACATTTTCCTGCTGCATTCGCTCTTGTTGAAAACATGATAGTCATAGCCTCAGACTGATCGTGGTTTACATCTGACTGACATGAGTAGACTACTAACTCTCCAGTTAAGAAACTGGATAATCCACTGACATTCAACCTTCTCATACACATTCCTGACATTTCTATCTCTTCATTTGTCTCTGCAATCCATCTGGTTCAGCTAGCTGGAAACATGTAGCTTACATTCTATTTTCACATACTTACTTGATTAGGAATGTCAACATCCTCATATAGTCGTATATTTTACTCATGTCACGTGTTGTATCATCCTTTCAGGTACTCTATTAGCATGAGGTGGTCTCGTAATTCATAAATTGAAACAATCAACATGAATCCTAAAATGACGATATATCAATTCTCATTTGACTAGTCCCTATTACAACACTTTAATTCAATAAAACAATGTCAACAGTCTTTCTATTTCCTTCAAACAGTCCTTATTTTATTCTGGACATACGCTTCCGTTCAGCTACAATGATTTAAGACTGCAGTAAATTTTGTCAGCTAATTTATCGACTAAAAGTATACATAATAACGCTGACAGTGCATTCTTGCTTATATCTGATAATATGAACAATAAATTTCAGTTTTGAAATCTTCATTCGTGGCAATTACCTTCATTTGAAGCGTTGCTTTAGAGATATTTGAAGGTGGTGACTAATTTCAAATTGCTTTCGTTGTGAGTGATTATTGCTTGTGCTTTTTGGTGGGTTATCTTCGTCACCTCCGTTTTCTCTTTATTCACCTGAAGTCCTGTATTCGCTGCGTGCCTCTTTTGCCAGTTTGTTGGTTTTCGCCTGATACCTTCTAGTTTGTGTGACTTTAAACATAAGTCATCCATGCATTAAATCCATAACCTCTAGAGTCTTTTTATCGGTGGCCCAGCGTATTCCTATTCCCTCGCTCCCACACACAGTCTGATGCATAATCCTGTCCACCTTAATTAGGAATATCACCATCGATAAAAGACAACCTTCTCCTGCTCCTTTCGTTAATTCAAACACATCATTGAGTTTTCCGTTCTGGTATTGTCAAACAGCCAGCTAATGGATGAGTTTGATGAAGACTTGGGCATTGCACGCCTTAGTCTTGAAGTCCTTTCCAAATTTCTTCAAAGTAGAATATGTGAAATATAAGAATTAACAAAACTTATAATTACAGACTGAGTGATACTGGATTACCTTCACCTCTTACGTAGAAGGTTAGACGAACATGTTGTGCGAGGACTAGGAATGATCATAGGATATACACAATCCAAAGTATTAAACATCCTACTTTGTTTAAATTCCAGTGCTTTCTGTGATACCAAAATCATGGAAACTAACCAGTCATAGCAAAAACTTTTGACAAAAAAGACCTAGCTACAGAGTCAAAGACGGTTGTGCAATCTAGGAAGGCACATCGAACAAATTTGGTATTTCTGTCTTAATTTGAGAAAGTATTATGATGCGACACGACAGTATCATCTAATGCGCAACTATCAAGTTCGCTTTGAGTCACCGAAAGCTTTCAACTTAAGTTCAAGTTGAAGTAAAATCAGATTTAAAAATGACTTAGAAATAGCAATAGGTCTGAATTTAACACATGATCATTTGAGTACAGGAACAAGTTTGATGTCTTTCAAAGAAGCAGACGAGAGATTTTTTGGAAAATGATTTATTGAAAATATCAGTGAGAGGATGACATAGGTTATCCGCACACTTTCTGAGGATAATAGCGTTGAATGCCCTCTAGACCGAAGGTTTAGATGATTTTCAACGACTGGAAGAGTGATCATTGATGACGTTTGTAGTCTCAGAAATCATATCATCTACTAAATGATATATGATGGACTTATTAAGCGAACCAGGATCAGTTGAAGAAGAATCATTGTTTATTTGCTTACCATTAATGGTTTTCCTAAATCGTTCCGCATTTATTCTCTTCATTTCTGATCTGATTAATGATCTCAGCCTCTTATCACTAAGATCAACTTTGATTTTGTAGAACCTTCATTTATTCGGTGAAGCTTTTTGAGGTGAGAAGGAGGAAAGCAGTCAACTATCAAGGGAAGTGAATATCAGATAACATGTTACATTTGTGATAGCGTTGACTAGAACTTGTTCAGTTAATGAGTCTCAGTTTGTTTGTTTTGACACACGCCTGAGAGTATGCGTATTGTGTGTTGTGTAAGGTCTATGTTGAGGTTTGTTTAGAAGGAGTGAGGCATCTTCTTTTGTGGCTTACATATACTTTTAACAATATTCTTGTAGCACAATGATCCAGGTTTAGTAGTGGGGCACATTTTCATGCATCAGTTATACCAAAGTCATTTGTGAACAAAATATCAAGAGTAATGTCTATTCAAGTTCAAAAGTTGGCGTTGTTTAAATGACGGAATGATGTGAAAAAACTGCAGTCATTGGATTTGAAATGTCCAGTCGCCTTTGACAACGAGTTGGGATGGAAGATGTCAGGAAATGAAGTGAATCCATCAGTAAATCAGGATAGTTCTAAGAGATTACAACAAAGCTTCAGGTGTCGCTCTTCGTGAGACACTCTTGTTGTATAAAAAGAAAACCACTGCAAGTAATACACACCTCGTGAAGACTTTTGAGTATTCTTAACACCTTCCGATTTCCAAAAAATGACGCATTATCATTCAATACCTTTAGTGTAATGTTTTCAACAAAACGTATGAATACCTTGTGGAGATACATATTTATTTAAATAAAGTTAAAGCAATATTTTTTTCAAAGAAAGTTAATTTCTTTATTAGTTTGTTTATTAGGTATATCACACAGTGAAACAGTATTATTGTCTGGATGACACAGTTTTGAACAAAATTTATTGTTCATAATCATATCAATTGTGATCACACGACTTTGACACTTTAGTTTTATAGTTTTCTTTGTTCTCTCCTATTTGTCGTATGGGTAGTAGAATTTTCCAAATATCGGGGACAGGTGATGAATCATTCCTATTACGTGTATTTGTAGCTGATTCGATAAACAAAGCTTCTGTTATCAATCTCTCCCTATACCCTGTGACATTAGATTTTAAAACTGTCATCCTATCCCGTCCTATTGTATGGTTGTGTGTGACTGCATGTACCAAAACAGATTATGATCTTATAACACAGTCCTCCAGCATCGCAAAATCAGCAACTTTCAAAAAGTCAAAAAATAGTCAAATCAAAAAGTTCAACAAATTATTAGAAGAGAAATCTTCATCTCAGAATGATGAAGTCAACAATCCAAAGTCAACGGTGATCGATAAATCAAAGTGGGTTATCAATCTCTCAACACATATATTAAGTCCTAGGAAAATTAGTAGTTTAGAAAAGGGACTAAATTTCAATGTATCTGTAGACAAGCTGAAACCTGAGGATGTCATCCCTAAAATAGAAATAGCACTAAGTGGGATAGACAAAACTACGGCTGATGAAGTATGGGCATAATGTGCACTAACATTAAAACGACAAAAATGTGGAAAGCCGAACCTGACAAAACAAGAGATAGAAGCCCTGAAACACCTTAAGAATAACAAGGATATAGTTATCACAAAGTCAAACAAAGGAAATGCAACAGTAGTATTAGACAAATCAGACTACTTGGACAAGGTAAACACTCACATACAAACAGGACGATATGAAGAAATTAATAAACCAATTGATACAGTTATGAATAAAGTTAAGAATGAAGCCGTTTCCAGGTGAGTCTAAGTGGTTTAATTTAATGCCCAAAACTAATAACCCCAGTAGGATGTATGGTGTTGTTAAAGTTCATAAGTCAGGATACCCTATTAGGCCTATAGTTGATTTTAGAAATTCACCTACTTATGAATTATCTAAATATTTAGCCATGGTAATTAATCCCCTAAAAACCCACTCGAAATCTAGACTAACTAATTCTTATGAACTCAAACATAGATTAGATAATTTAAAATTAGATAATGAAGAGAAAATGGTTAGTTTTGACATAGTCAGTTTATACACACGTATACCAATAAATATGGCTATGGAGGCAGTCAGAAACGAACTCATTTCTGACCAAGAACTCGAACTTAGGACAAAAGTGCCACTTGAGGACATAATGTTAGGAGTACAGCTATGCCTGACTTCCACAGTATTTAAATTACAAGGGAAAATATACAAACAAACTGAGGGAGTTGCCATGGGATCACCAATATCCCCATTGGTAGCAGATATATTCATGGATAAGTGGGAAAGCATGGCGATTGAAACGTTCAACTCCACCCCAAAAGTGTGGTGGAGGTATGTGGATGACACATTCACTGTACTTAAAACACAAGATATAGATAGGTTTTTC